AATCTTGTCGGAACTTCAATAAAAGTCGACGTAAAAACGAAAAGGAAAAAAAGGAAGTGCGGCAGTTTTGTGCAAAGTTTATAGGGGAAAGTTAGGGACATTTGACGATTTTGGAGTCAGGGTAGCGCAAAAAAAGTCAGGGAATTGGAAAATGAAGAAAAATATTGGAAACCATGCATACTCCATCGCATTGCACAGAAGAACGAGCCTCAAGAGATTTGGGACACGAAATTGAGACCAAAACTACAAATGTTGATGCTTGTTTCCTCATATTATAATTTTCAAGGGGGTATGTCACCTTAAATTTTACGAGAAAACGGATGGAATCACTCTCAAACTGCTACAATTATTCATATTAACGAATACATAAGCTTTTAAATTTTCCACATTATGTCCGATCCCTCACGATGACTTCCTCCGTTGTGTGACGTCACCACGGTAAATCAAGAACCACGGAGTGCAGATTTGCAATGAGCGAGGCTGCATCGACTGCATCGCACTCTGCACCGAGGCCTATGATGGTGGGGTTCCGGACCTCTCTCTCGAGCGATCGGGCATTCGAATTCCTTCTCGGGAGAGGTTTTATACCTATGCGGGCGTAAAATGAACTTGTTCCTGGCAATCCCGGCTCGGTGACGGCGACGCTACGTGCCGATCTGCCGAGTAACCCGATCGGAAATCGCTTCGGTCGACGATCGCACCGCCAAAACGAGCCGCACCTCCGACCGCCGAGATCAGCCGCGGGTGTTCCCTCGCCGTACGCCATAAGTTCGCCCAAGTAATATCCGCGAGGAACCGACAAAACTAGGATTCACCCTCCGTGAGGCCGGGGGAGGGGTGGGGGGGGGGCGTTGCCGAAGGAACCTGGATTGTGTGAGAATTCTCGCTTCGGTTGGAGATGCTAGAGGGTGTATGTTGGTCAGAAAAACCTGGGAAGTCACGGGTCGAACGAGCTCGTTCGGAGATTTTTAAATCTTGGATTTTTAAAAAGTGGAAAGTTCACACAGCAAGGTTGCCACAATGCCACAGTCAGGGAATATCGGAAAAACCGGAAGATGTCAGGGAATTTTAAAAAGTCAGGGAAAACCTGGAAATATCAGAGGAAATTATGAAAATGTCAGGGAAAAATTGTCCAGTCACCTTTATTTCTTTTCTAGAATGGGCTTGACTTTTCAAATTCCAAATTTTGCCTGGAAATTATTTAAAATCATGTCTTTTTAAGCATATGACACATCCTCAATTTTCTGGGAATTCATGAAATTCGGAAACTTAAAAAGCTCCGTCCATACAAAACTTTGAGGGTTTGAAAGTGTTTCCTTTGGTTTCCTCGTGCAATTTTCATCAAACAGCACCCCTTAAAATTTAAATTATGAAGAATCAAACATCAAAATTTGCAGTTTTCGTTGGAAATGTCATGTCTGACTTCCCTGATTGACTCGATCCACTGTGCGCCTTTCCACCCCTGAAACCTCTCTGTTTTTCAAAAATGCGAAAACACCAAAGCACTGAAGAAGCTCATTCGCGGACCCTACCGCGTCGGGTATACATTCGTGGTTTGGCAGGCAGAGGCGCGAAAAATCCGGTGCAAAGACCTGACACCGCAACACGGCGGAAGACTCCCTGCTCGTCACCGGCACTCGCGCACATTCGCACAATTGGCACGCATACGCAGATGTAGATACGTAGCGGGGGCGGGGGAGGGGTGGGAGGGGTGGGAGGGGGGGGTGGCGAACACGCGAGGGCGACGCGACGCTGGCGAATGCGCGGACGGGGACGAGTCATTGGGTCGTTGCAAATGAAGAAACCTCATCAAGTTAACCAATTTATTTGAATGCGTGCGAGTAAACATTCCTAGGCTTCTTCCTCCTTCCTGCCCTCTGTTGTCGCATCGAGCATCTCTCAGCTTTCCTGCCTCTTAGCGCGTGCTCTTCTGTCGATTGATTGGATGGATTTCTGCCAAACGGAAATATGGACGGATTTCTGTCAAACGGAACTATGGGCATAATGCAGGGTGTCTACAAGTGCGGAATTTCCGAAAAGTACGGAAAAAGTATTGATTTTTTAAGGGTGTTCCGGAAGTACTGAAAAAATGCGGAAATTTCGCAAGAAGTTCCGGAATTTTATCATTTTTTCGGCATTTTAGTCGCAATTTGAGAGAGAAATTCGAATTTTTGAAATTTGTCGAATTTCGTCAATTGGTAAAGTTCAACTGGTAAAGGCAATTGAAAAAGTACTGATTTTTAATGTGAAGGAGATACTGAATTTCTTGGGAATATACTGAAAAAGTAGTGTAAGAGTACTGATTGTTGGCCAGCCTGTTTAAGTAGACACCCTGTTATGACGTAAGCCCTGTTATGCATATAGTCTTACGGGTCTCATGGATCATGTCTTAATGCATATAGTCCCGTTTGATGCACGTAGTTCCGTTTGGCAGAAATACGTCCAATTCAAAAAAGGGGTGGCAAGAAGTTGGCTTTAGAGTGGCTTTCTAGGGGGAAGAGGGATTTCCAAAACTCGACCGAAATGTCCTACGCACAGTACTCAAACGGCCCTTCAGAGCTATATGAGTGAAACTTTTGAAGCAAAAAGGATGCAGATAGCTCCACCCAACCCAGACTCAGAAACGTCCAATATGTCCCTCTTGCAGGAAATTGCGGCAGCACCGATCAGGGCAGACCTGAAAACCGCGTCGAATTTTTTGCTCCGCGGTTCACAGACCTGGCGGCTTTGAAATTGAAATTGCTTCCCCCACGCCAGGCACCCCTAGCTCCCCCGTCCGGAGCATTTTTATACCGGATGACAAAAACGACACCCCCTCCCGGCCCACCCTCCAGGTTAGGTTCGGTTTCGATCCGAACGAACGAGCCAAATTGACAACAACCTCGTGTGCCCTGGCTTAAAATGAGAATCCTGCCCCCTTCCCCGTCAATACCCCCCGCCCCCGCCCCCCAAGCACTCCACTCTATCGTGCGGGCCAATGGTTCTTTCCGCGAATACTCATATCCCTCCGCGGCCCGCGGTTACGTCAAATTCTTCGCCTCAGTCCCGGGTTGTACAAGGCGGACGGGGGGGGGGGGAGCGCCCCCGCACGATGCATTGTCCCCCGAAGTTTTCCTCGAAAAACTAATCTTCCTCTTGCCCCCGCTCGCGGTTTCTTCTCTGCGCTTCGGGTTTTTTTCGAATCCAATCCTCCTCTCGATTTTCCCTCATGCGAGGACACTGCCGAGATGGTAGGAATCCCTGTAACCTTGGTAGTACTCCGGGAGATCGCTTACAGGATTACGAATTAAGCGAGCATCCGAATATCTCGGGTGTGTGAACAGTATGAAACGCGGGAGCTGAGTTCTAACGGATTTCCCACGGGAGTTTTGAGAAAATTCGTCGTGAACATGTTCATTTCGCTTCGCGACTTTTCACTCTCATTTAATGTGGTTTTTTTTTTTAACGAGGAAAAAATCCTATGCAAGGTTTTGAAAATTTTTATTTTTTTACCTGTGGTTATGAAGCATTAAATGCGACTGAAGGTGAGTAAGTCTGTGATTGGAGATCCCTGAGGGCAGAGCAGCCCACAATCACATGTTTGACGGTTGGAGGTGATAAATTGCAGAAGTTACAGATGGGTTTATCTTCTTTGCAGATGATATTATTGTGACTGAAAAAAGTCTGACCAATCCTGAGACGCGCAATTTAAACTTCACATGATCTTGTTTTGTGGTTTGATGTTCTTGGATATGAGACAAGTCGTGGTGCGTAACCATAGATACATACATATGCAAGGCGAAATCGTACACACCCAACGCCTCGATTATCTCTATGAATTTTGCACCAAAATTGATGCAATCGGAAATTTTTGAACACCGCAATCGAGGTACGCGGTTCCCAAGTTTAGCCTTCGAAGTGCAATGTATGTCCACGGCTCGTACCTCTTGTTGCATGTACCCGAACAACAACAGAAGCAACGCTCGGTCCAGCAGGATTACCGAGCTCGTACAGCAAATATTTAAACCCCAGCTCTACACCCCCCCTCTCTCTCCCCCGACTGATACAACCCTGCATGCACCCCCCTCCCCAGCCCGACCTGATTTCTTCTCTCGGACATCGCACATCGCAAATTCAATTACGCTGCCCGACCACGTCGAGCGCACCCGTGCTCGCCTCCGAGCGAAAACATCGCAACTCCCTTCGAAATCTTATGCAAATGCGTGGTTTTTACCGATCCTTTCTCGCTTCTTTGCGGAAACAATTAAAAAAGTTAGAGCTCCGTCCGAGCCGGAGGAAAGTTATCCCGTCGGATTGCGATTCGGGGGCAGCGATTGCGCCTCGCTTCCTTAATGCGCCTTCAATTTTCTCAGATACTACCTGATGCGCGGGTCGGTCGCGTTGGGACGACGCCCTTCATTTTCTCGCAAATGTAAGAACTTCCTATGAAGCTGTTTTGGTGCATTCGCTCAATGCGCCTTCCATTACGTAGCTCTGCAACGCAAGCATCTCTAAAGCAGGAATAGTTTTATTGAAATTTTGCAGTCATTGGCTCACATATTTGAAAACTCCTACTCTGTAGCCATTTTGGTGCCCTCGTCCGATGCGCCTTCAATTATGTAGTTATGCAACTCAAGCACCTCCGAAGCTGGAATAGTTGTATCCAAAGTTTGTAGTCTCGTAGCTATGTAACGGACGCACCTCTGAAGCATAAATAGTTTTATCAAAAGTTTTTAGTCATTTTCTCATACACATATATTCTAAAACTGCCACTCCTGCAGCCGTTTTGGTGCCTTCGACCGATGAGCCTGCAATTAAGCAGTTATGCAACGCAAGCACCCCTGATGCTGGAATAGTTGTATCCAAAGTTTGTAGTCACTTTCTCACACAATTTCGAGCATTTTTGTCTTGTTTTGTACAGCGCAAACAGCGATTGGCGTCGTCTGTAAAGAGAAACTAACGTTGCTCTTGATATGATTTGATCCTAATCCAATTGTTTTCATTTTCTGTTTCTGTTTCAGTTCCCTGTGGTTCCGCTCAAACTGTCTTCATGTTTGCAAGATACTGAATGCAATATGGTAAGTTATCCTTGAGGTCTTTATTTCAAACTCTCTTCAGTACTATTTGTCAAATCATGAATGCGTGACTTGTTCAAATTGGGGGATCTCGACCGTTTGGAAAAATTACTTTAATCCATCTAGGGTTGTACAGATTATGCAAATTTGTCGTCTACAGAATATCCAGAAAAATTACCTCATAAAATTCGATCATTTTAGACTACGAACACATAAAATTAAAAGTTTCTGCCTAACGCAGAAAATCATTAATATCTGCAAATGCGCATGTGCCCATTTCTCAAATGGTCATTCAATCATAGAATCGTGTTATAATGGTTCAACGATGCACATTTAAATAATATCGCCGACCCACAAAATACGAACTTCACCCTGTGTCGAGGCGTGAATGATCGAATATCAATTTTTCTCCATTTGAAGCTATGGTAGAGAATCGATTATTAGGTATTCGTTGCGAACACCCTATTTATCGATCATTTTCCATAGGTTTAAATGGCAGATCAATCGATGTGTCGCAAAGCACGCCACGCAAAGAACGGTCTTCACCATCTGCGAATGACCCATCAAATTCCAAGTTTCGTCATAAACATTTTGGCGGTGGTTTCCAAAACGCATTCACGAGAATCAATCCGCGGAATATTAATCATGATTGATCCGTTGGATCGGTCATTAAAAGCGCGACTCGGCCTGGCGTCGTGTCGGCGTCACGCTTCATTCGGGAGGGGGGAGGGGGCACAAATAGGGCTGCAATAGTGTTTATCGGTGGTTCCCGAGGGCGGGGGGTGGGGGTGCATCGAAATAATCCGAGGATGAAAAGAAAACCGCGGTCACGGGGGGCGCATGGGTGATGGTCCGTGAGGCATGACAATGCCAATTTCTGCATCTGGTCCATTGTCGCATCCGATCGGGACAACCACGCGCAGTCGCGCAGTGGGCACAGAAATTTACAAGTTAGTTAGTTATTTGGATCCATGTACGAGACTTTGTTTTATTCGCATTATAATTGAATCGGGTCGTGCGAAAACCGATCATGTCCATTTTTCGTATCTCGCGTGTTTTTGGGTTGATACTACTTTTCAAAGGTATCACTGGTAAAAAAAAAAAAAAAAAAAAAAAAAAAAAAAAAAAAAAAAAAAAAAAAAAAAAACCGCTCAGATCTAGAGTTCAGACTCTTGAAAACATTGTCAAGAAAAAAGATTCAGTCGGACTTTTCGCTCGAATCAACTGGAAATCCGCCTAAATCGAGAGGCTCTTCTGCTCATCTTTCTTTGAATCTCTTCGATTCAAAGAAAAATGGGATTGAATCAAAAGTATAATTTCTTATCAATGTTATTAAGACTCAGGACTCCAGATACAAGCGATTTTTTTTTCCAGAGAAGATGCAACCATTAAAGTGGTGTCAATATGCGCTTCAGGGTAATCTTATTGCCAAAACAAGTCATCGAACCGCTTCCATGATTAAATCAACTGTGAAGAAGTATTATTCACACAAAAAAACTTATAGCTGAGGAAATGGACATCAGCGGTTTTCGCACCACACGATTCAATTGGATTGGCTATTCTGGCAGATGCATCTAAAATTCCAATGCACTCACCTTTTCAATTAGTTTCTCTTTATTCGATGATGGAGTTGCGGCAACTTAAGTATTGTGAACTGAACTACATTTTGCCATTCGGTACAATTTCTGGCTGAGGTTAGAAATAACGTACGTTCCATTAGTTTCCTATGTATATGAGTGTTTTCACGGTTGAGCCAGGAATTGGAGTTCCTAATTGCGAAATGAAGTCCAACTGTGCGTCGGATGGACCACCGCCGGAGGCCAGAGCCACAGGGCGACGAGCGACCCCGTTTGATCTCTGAAATGACTCAAATGAGCAACGACAGTTTACGACTCTCCATGCACGTCGCACATTGTGCAGACTGCGATCGTGGCCACGGTGTGGTGGTCGCCTCTTCGTCAATTACCTCATTTCGGCCAATTTTCCATCCCGCGCTATCGCACTTTGTCTGCGTCCGCTGGTTATGTATTCATAAGCCAACAAAACAAAGCCTTTGACTCGGAAATTGTAGAGCTTGCCCGAGCCGAATAATTCCTCAAACTAATGAACTTTAGTGACACAGCCTCCGGTTCTCCTCATCGTGCATCAGTGGCGTGGATGGCGTGAATTGCGATGTATCGATTGTTATGTCATTTAAACCTATGGTAAAGAATCGATTATTAAGGTGTTCGCTGCGAACACCCTGTACATCGATCCTTTTCCATAGGTTTAAATGGCATAACAATCGATATATCGCAAAGCACGCCACGCCACTGGTGTTTACAATATTGAACACTTATATATTTGGGATCGTTCACGGTAAAATTGACCTTCCGCCTGAAAGATGGAAAATTGTACGTTTAAAATGGATCGCGTTAAGCAGAAAGGAACCGAGCCACATCAGCTGTTTCCAGCTTTCATCGGGCAATAAAGTTTTTTACATGAAAACGGCTGTGCGGAATTTCGTGAAAATTTCCGCGAATTTTCTACCTAGTACGAGACGAATTCCTCAAAATTTTCAAAGGAATCCACACAAACGTACACTTGTAAAAAGTCGAATTGCCCAGTTAAACTTGGCAATAGCTGATGAGGCTTAATTCATTTCCGCTAAACGCGATTCAAACAATCTTGCTTATACTACAAACCAATAAGTTTAGTAGGCGCTCTTCGGTTCGGAAATATCATCGGAGATATCGTCCCTAAAAAAACGCGGTGTATGACGTCATCCATTGCTGTAGTTTTCTCTAACTAGGATGCATCCATTAGTGATACACACATTTGTACTGCTGGTCGCTCGACTTAAATCACGGATGAAACCAAGGTGGAAGAAGTCATGGTATGCACAAACACAAGATGACATCATACGCCGTGCTTTTTGAGGGGCAATATCTTCCCTAATATCGAACGTAAAAACCATGTGTTTGGGCAGAAATTATATATTTTTTTTTGGGTTTTTTGGCTGGGTTCATTACTTTATTAGGTGTTTTTGACGTGTGTGTTCTACTTACTTTTTAGTCTTCGGTCCTGATTTCTCTGTTTACAACACGACTGTTTACAGACTGTAAACAGAAAAATCAGGACCGAAAAGTATAAAGTAAGTAGATCACACAAGTATAATTTTTTTTGCAAATCTGAAATCATCAAAACACGATTTTTCGACGTACGCAACAAACTCATCGCGAAAAAAAGCTCAAGTTGAAAATGAAGAGGGGGCACCCCTGCACCCACTTGTATTATCCGCCCCAACTTGAATATGACGTTGGCGTACGCGCAAGAAGTTGATAGACGTCCTGCGCGGGCACGGAGGGACAAGAAAAGAGCTAATTGAAATCTATACGTTGAGCCAGGCACACGGCCACGATGAAGATCCTCTCCGAAACCGCACAAGTCAACATCCGTATGAGCCCCCAAGAGCTATGGTTGTTGTAGGCTCGGGGGCTCATGAGATACGAGATTCGCGACGTTCGAACGTGGAGCGATGAGCGATGAATCGCCGCTGCCCCTTGGTCGTGGTCGTTGCGTGGCACACTATCGTCGTCCCTCCGATGTAACGGCGTATCTCAATGTCCACGTGAGCTCTGTTGCACGGATATACGTATGCTTTTTGGGGCTCATGTGGGGATCGAGGTACGCCCTCAGGTCGGAGGGGCGACATCATGAGTCAAACGCGAGGCCCGGTCGTCGACGCGATGCCATGGCTGGTGGAATAATAGAAAACTACCGGTCACCCGAAGACCCGGGCTCACCCGGCCAGGTTTCCAGATCGTACCTGACACGTGATCCATAGGAATCAGCGCACTGCAAACAGCAGGGTGTCTACAAGTCTAGAATTTCCAGAAAGTCCGGAAATAGTATTGATTTTTTAAGAGCAGTCCGGAAGCACTGAAAAAGTGCGGGAATCTCGCATGGAAGTCCGGAATTTTTTTATCATTTTTGTCACGATTTGAGCGAGAAATTCAAATTTTTCGAATTTCTTTAAATGAGGGCACCGAAAAAGTTTTAATTTTTCCGTTGAAAAGGTACCAAATTTCTCGGAAATGTACTGAAAAGTACTGTAAGAGTACTAATTTTTGGTCAGGCTGTTTTGGTAGACACCCTGAACAAAGTTGGATTCCTTATAACACGGGAACAAAAACTTCGATTGTATACATATATCGAATATTTCAGTAGACGCTTGTTTTAGGTTACAGGACTGAGCCTGCAGTAGATCGGTCAAGCAAGCCGACCTCTTCAGCTCACAGAACTAAACTTCAGTTTATAGTAATAAAAAACTTTGGCCCGTATGAAACATGCTTCATATTGACCGATGTGTTATCCGTCCATTATCAAACTGAAGTTTATTTTTGTGAGCTGAGCAGTCGGTTCACCCGACTTTTTCCGTGAAACAGGGCTGGATTTGACATTATAAGCGCCAAAAAAAAAAATTAGTTTAAATCCTATGAGCAGTTTGAAAAAATTGGGGCGTATGAACCGAATTTCGGGTGGAAAATATCCCTCAAAATACAAGTATGAACTGACCAAACTTGACTTGAAAGAAAAATGATCAAAGACCTCTTCTTAATTTGTGCCATTTTTAGTCAGTCTTATCACAAAAAATATGTTCATATGCGTATCAAATTCTCGTTAAAACGAGGCACAAAGGGTTTGGCAACGTTGCGCTGACAGAGTAAAGAAGATAAACCCCCGCGAGTACAATATTCTCTTGACTTATTCCTCCTATTCATATGCAGATAGGCTTCTACTCACACCGTTACGCTGCCAGGTTGTGCTATTTTTGCTTTTAAACTCATTTTTCCGAAAGAATGAAATTCGGGGTGTGGCTCGAAATCATTTCCTGTCCCTGAAACTGAACAACCTTAAAATCAATTGCATTTAATAGTTACCATTTCCATAAAATCTCAAGCTTTTTTTGAAACATCATAGATGACGGAACGCTCTTTCAACTCAAACCAACGCGAATAACA